TTGTCAGGTTTCACTTTGTGTTGCTGCTGATGTAACTGTTAAATACTTTGCTGTAGGACCAAAAGAAAAACATACATCCACCCAAAATAGTACACGAGTGACTACATCCTGCTAGTCACTAGTCGGATAGACAGGAAATTCAAGTGACGCTCAACACTGTTTAATTATACACAAAATACTGACCAAGTAAACAAATACAAATTATTTTCTGGTAATCTTAGGTGTTACTTGTAATGCTAGTAAATTTAAACTTTTCAAATATCAGTTCAGTTTTGAAGTTGATGATGTTCCTTTAAAAAGCTGTCAAGACATGGTGGACAAATTGGAGAGAGTCCAGTGGAGGGCAGAGAAAATGGTTAGGGGCAGGGGTGACTTATGAGGAGAAGCTGAGGGAACAGGGCTTATTTAGTCTGGAGGAGAAAAACTGTGAAGGAGATTTAATAGCAGCCTTCAACTACCTGAAAGGTTATTCCAAAGAGGATCGACCTAGACTGTTTTCAGTGGTAGCAGATAACAGAACAAGGAGCAATGGTCTCAAGTTGCAGCAAAGGAAGTTTAGGTTAGATATTAAGGAAAAAAAGTTCTTCCTAGGAGGGTAGTAGAACACTGAAACAGGTTACCCGGAGATGTTGTGCAATCTCCATCTTTGGAAGTTAAGACCCAGCTAGACAGAGCCCTAGTTCTCTATTGGGGCTGGTCCTACTTTGAGCAGGGGGCTAGATTAGATGACCTCCTGAGGTCCCTTCCAACCCTAATTTTCTATGATTGTAGTTGTTTTTAATTGCATATTTAAAGATCCAAACTTATTATGGAAGCCTGCCAGATCTTGTAAACTGAATGGAGCTGAGCTGGATGGGAGTGTTCCAGGGACCATTGGGTGCTACAGGAAGGGGTTATGATTCACTGATGACACTTATCCTTTTTAGCTAGTAATAAGTCCAAGTCCAAGAATGGTATTGGGGGGCACTGTTTATGTGGAAATACCCATTGAGATGGAACTTAAAGCAAAAGATCTGATAATTTGGGTTCAGTAAAGATTCCTTGCCACTTGTAAAAATACATAGTTTAGGTTATTAAATTTGATATCTAATAGAAAGTTCACTTTCTTCTTAAGTCTCAAGCAGTTTGACTAGACCTTGTATATTTGTGCTAAATTGTTTTGCTATGTTGCTTTGTGCTGTTTGCCATTTTCATGCTTTATACCAGGGTTAGGCTGAATTTCTGGGGGGTGTGAATTGATTTGTATATAAGATACGATTGAGTATTTCAAGAGTGATAGAACACCTTAAGATGAAAGGTACAAAAGCTATTTTGTTAGTAAGTTTTGAGGGTTTAGAGGTAACACCCTTTTAATTTTGAACAGGCAAAATTAAGATTGAGAAAAAAATACAAGACTGAGTATAGCTTGCCTTTACCTCTCCTTTGCAAACTTCAACAGTGGGGGCATTCTGACAAGCTGGTCTTTCCTTTGCTGTGGAACCGTTGCAACCAGACCTGAATTGGGGCAGGAGTAGCAATAGCACTGAATTGGTGACAATATACTGCAGTTTCCAGATGACACAACTCAGTCTCTTTGGGTCCACGTGCACAAAGGAGGATTAATAATGATTCACAATATGATACAATGAAGTAGGAGATGGCTAGGTTTTCTCCATAGCTTCCCCATTTCTTCACTTAAAATCTCTTCATCCTGGAGATACTGTCTGGATAAATAGGCCTTTTCCTACATGCCTTATTTTCCCAACAATGATCTTGTATCTTCTCTTAGAAAAAAAGTTTCCCAAGAGAGCTCTTTTTTAACATTGTCTCAATAACCCTCTTTTTTGCCTGCAATGGCAAATCTCATTTCATTCCTACTGTTAGAGAGAGTCTTTCAAATAGCTGTAGAATCCAACCTGGACTAGCCTAGTGTTTGAGGTTTCTTTCTGTATTCACATCTCCACTTTTCAGAAAACACTATGGTGGAAAGCGTGGGATTACTCTTGGGGTGGGAAGAATGGGTTACTTAAGAACCATTCTTGGAAGAGACTTGTGGATGACTAGGACTCCTTGTTTATATACAAGTTGAAATTCTGTAGAATGTAAGAATTCTTGTAAATTCTCATAGTTATGAAGTGGAAAAGGAAGTGCAGCCTTCTTGGTTCAAAACCTGTTTAAGCTATATAAAGACATAAGTTCAGGGACCAGTAACCTTTTAGCAGTGGTGGCTCAAATTAGCTCAACTCAGTCTGAAGGTTGGCTGCCACTTGTAAAATTGGTTGCTGTCACAATCGCTTGCAAACCAGCTGCTGCTGAAATACGACCTCTGTCCTAGGCCCGATGAAATCTCAAGATCACTTAATTGTCTTTCTTCACCGTAAAACATTTCAAGATTATGGATGTTAACTAAAGCTGCTTGGAACTTTGAATTTGTTTTGAGGTTTTGACATGCATTTATTCCGAAATACAATGAAAACAAATTCTTTTTTATATTTCCCATAAAATGAAGATTCTAAAAATTGTTTGAAATTTCATTAAAGAAAATTTTTTTTAGCAGAGACTGAACAACTAAGTTTTAAGTAATTTAAGTAAGAATTGCAGCCCTTAATTGCTTGTTATCTCTGCATGCCCACATGCTTGTGTATCACTTACAGATTACAGTGCGTAGACTTTGTGCCAGGAAGGCAAATGTGCATTATTATTACATTTTAAAAACCCACTTGACTACTGTATAAAACCAAATTCAACATTTAATATTTATTTTAATTAATGTCCTATCATTCATCTCCAGGATGACTCTCAGCAGTCTCCTAGAGATTTGTATCTAATTCTTGGAGACTCCAGGGCAATCTTGGAGGCTTGGCAACCCTAAGTGAGGTGGGGGAAGGAGCAGTGGCTCATCTGAGGGGTGCGGGGGTTGTGTGACTCCCACCTCTGTGCACATCTCTGGGGGAGGCACTGCCCCCCCAGATCTGTGTGGGGGGAGGGCGGGGTGCTGCTGAGGGCTGGGCCCAGTGGTGGTGCCAGGCTTTTCTCAGCAGGGGGTTGGGCCAGGGCTGTGCTTTGGGTGGATGGCAGCAGCTCTGGGAGTGGGGCACTATAGACGTTCGC